CTCACCTTGGAGAATTTGGGCCAGGTCAGGGCGCTCTCCGGCGATGGCTTGGAGCCTTGGAGGTGAGAGCAGGGTGAGGGGGGGGCAATATGGCCCTTGTCCCATCCCGGGGGGGCTGGGGGGCTGGGGGCTGGCACCCCACCTTACCGAAGAGCTTCTCGGCCAACATGAGGAGGTGGTCCCGGCTCAGCCCCCGCTCGGCCACGCTCTCAAACTGCCAGCTCAGCACCTCGGCCAGTCGGGGCCACGGCGCCGGGGGGGGGTTGGAGAAGAACTGCTGGTCCTGCAGGAGCAGGGGACAGGGACCAGGGGATGAGGACACGCACCGAGGCAGGAGAAGGGGATGGGACAGGGAGCAGGGAATGGGGACATGTGGCAGGGGATGGGGACACAGATAGGACAGGGACCAGGGGACAAGGACACAAGGCAGGGGATGGGGACAAGGATGGGACACAGACCAGGGGCAGGGGACAGGGATGAGGGGATGGGGACACGTGGCAGGGGACAGGGACAGGGATGGGACAGGGAGCAGGGAATGGGGACACGTGGCAGGGGACGGGGACACGGATAGGACAGGGAATAGGGGACAAGGACACACACCAGGGCGGGGGACACGGATGGGACAGGGACCAGGGGACAAGGACACAAGGCAGGGGATGGGGACAAGGATGGGACAGGGAGCAGGGGATGAGGACACGCACCAGGGCAGGGGACAGGGATGAGGGGATGGGGACATGTGGCAGGGAATGGGGACAGGGATGGGACAGGGAGCAGGGAATGGGGATGCGTGGCAGGGGACGGGGACACGGATAGGACAGGGAATAGGGGACAAGGACACGCACCGGGGCAGGGGATGGGGACAAGGATGGGACAGGGACCAGGGGACAAGGAGACAAGGCAGGGGATGGGGACAAGGATGGGACACAGAGCAGGGGCAGGGGACAGGGATGAGGGGATGGGGACATGTGGCAGAGGACGGGGACAGGGATGGGACAGGGACCAGGGAATGGGGACATGGATAGGACAGGGAATAGGGGACAAGGACACGCACCGGGGCAGGGGACAGGGATGGGACAGAGACCAGGGGACAAGGACACAAGGCAGGGGATGGGGACAAGGATGGGACACAGACCAGGGGACAAGGACACACACCGGGGCAGGGGACATGGATGGGACAGGGACCAGGGGACAAGGACACAAGGCAGGGGATGGGGACAAGGATGGGACACAGACCAGGGGCAGGGGACAGGGATGAGGGGATGGGGACATGTGGCAGGGGACGGGGACAGGGACAAGGACAGAGCAGGGACCGGCGACAGGAGAAGGGACAACCCTGGGGGAGAACCAGGGGTCAAGAGCCTGGGACAGGACACAAGGAGGGAGACCAGGTGAGGGGCAGGGATGGGGACAAGGACCCCAGGATGGGGGGAAGCCGGGGGGTGGGCGCGGGGTGGGGGTCCCCCTCACCACGTGGTCGCTGCTG